CTGTGGGCGGCCGCCCCGTGCAGTTGGCTGGGGCAGCAACGACGACGACGACGTCGACGACGACGTCGACGACGAGCGCTAGACCCAGAGATCCGACGCTCCCCAAAAATTTGAGCGGCGGGATTTTGACATTTTTCGGCCTCCAGGGGCCCTCGCTGGGCCTCGAGAGCGTCACAAACGACTCAGGACGAAGAATCGGCCCCAGGGGAGTGGTCTGATGTGGTCTGGACCTCTGGGGAGCACGCATCGGAAAAATTGGAGCAGCCAGATGTCTGGTCGAGCTGTACGCGCGCGGCGCGCAGGGGAGCCCGCCCGTGCCCGTCAGGGCATGGCGTGGACGCCGTGGCCTCGGCAACCGATGCGCGAGTCTGACCAGCCGGCCAGCTGGGGCTGGGGGCGGGGCTCCACGGACGATGGAGAGGGTTCCGCTCCGCAGGCGCTTCCCGACATCGGCCACCGTCCGTGCCCGACGAGTGTCAGAAATCATACAAAAACGCAGCCATGGGAAAATCATTGCTCTGTGCGTTTGTAGTATCCTCTGGGAGCAATCATTGGGCCGTCTACGGGCATCTGGTGGGTGTCTGGGGCCGCCTGGGCTCTCGAAGCCGATTGGCCACCCTCCTGACCGCTTTAGGCCCTCTGGCCGGGCCTGGCAAGGACATCCAGGAGGCCCAGAAGTCTGCGGGGGCCGCAATGAGGGCCGAAGATCCGGACGGTCTGGGCGGGGGGGGATTCTTCCCCCCGACAGTGTCAGAGATCACCCGAAACGTGCCCCAACCCCCTTCTCCACGCGAGGCGAAGATTTGTATGAGCGCTCCATACCAAAGAACACATCGCCAGATATGCACGATCAGCGGTGCCCTCATCTCCGCCGTGCCACCGAAGAGCTCATGGAAAAGGGGACAATTGCGCAGTTCGTAGCCTCCCAGGGAGCCGCGAGGTCTCGGCCGGGTCCGCGTACTCCCCTACCCCGCCGTGCCTCTCAGGAGCCAACGAAAGTGGCGACATTTGCGCAACTCGCGGCATCCCAGGGAGGAGCGATTTCTCAAACAGATTCGCCCGGCCCCCGACCCGCGAGACCTCCCAGGAGCCCATGAAAGTGATGACAACTGCGCAGTTCGCAGCCACCCAGGGAGCCGCGAGGTCTCGGCCGGGTCCGCGTACCTCCCTACGCCGTGCCTCCCAGGAGCCCACGAAAGTGGCGACAATGGCACAGTTCGCAGCCCCCCCGAGGGAGCAGCGAAGCCTCGTCCGGATGCGCGTGGCCCCAGACTCCGCTGGACCCCCCGACGAGCCCACGAAAGCGGCGACAGCTGCGCAGCTCGCAGCCCCCCCCAGGGAGCTGCGAGGTCTCGGCTGGGTCCGCGTGCTCCCCTACTCCGCCGTGCCTCCCAGGAGCCCACGAAAATGGCGACAATGGCACAGTTCGCAACTGCCTAGGGAGCTGCGAGATCTGAGCTGGGTCAGCGTGCTCCCCTACTCCGCCGTGCATCCCAGGAGCCCACGAAAGTGGCGACAGTTGCACAGCTCGCAGCCACCCAGGGGGATGCGAGGTCTCGGCTGGGTCCGCGTACTCCCCTACTCCGATGTGCCTACCAGGAGCCAACAAAAATGGTGACAATTGGGCAGATCGCAGCCACCTGGGGAGCTGTGAGGTCTCGGCTGGGTCCGCATACTCCTCCCCTACTCCGCCGACAGTTGCGCAGTTCGCAGCCACCCTGGGAGCAGCGATGTCTCGGCTGGGTCCGCGTACTCCCATACTCCGCTGTGCCTCCCAGCAGTCCACGAAAGCAGCGACGGTTGCGCAGTTCGTAGACACCCAGGGAGCTGCGCAGTGTCGGCTGGATCCGCGTACTCCCCTACTCCGCCGTGCCTCCCAGGAGCCCACGAAAGCGGCGACAACTGCGCAGTTCGCAGCCACCTAGGGAGCTGCGAGGTCTCGGCAGGGTCCGCGTACTCCCCTACTCCGCCGTGCCTCCCAGCAGCCCACGAAAATGGCGACAGCTGCGCAGTTCGCAGCCCCCAAAGAGATGCGAGGTCTCGGCTGGGTCAGCATGCTCCCCTACTCCGCCGTGCATCCCGGGTGCCCACGACAGTTGCGACAGCTGCGCAGTTTGCAGCGACCCAAGGAGCAGCGCAGGAGGAGCAATCGGGAGGAGGAGGTCGCGCAAGGAGTGCTCTATTCAAAACGAGAAGCCAGCACAGGAGGATGAGGAAATATCAAGAGGAGGGAGTCTATACTCATATGATGATCAGCATATGTGGCTGCATTGGCGCTTCGAGCCACGCACCTTGGTCTTTCAATTGCGGCCTGCCGGCGGAATGGGAGAGAAAGAGAGAGAGAGAGACACACACACACAGAGAAGGGCAAATACGGACAAACAGCGATAATCCTTGTTGCCGCGTTCGTCGTTGTCGTCGTCGCCGCCGCCGCCGCCGTCGTCGTCGTCGTCGTCGTCGTCGTCGTCGTCGTCGTCGTCATCGCCGTCGTCGTTATAAT